AAAAAAAAAAAAAAAAAAAAACGAGAAAACATATCTGAAAAATGAATCAAAAAAATTTTGTTTCTTTTGTTATCGATTTTTTATCAAGTTCATTGTTTTATTGTTTTATTGTTCTATTGTTTTATTGTTTTATGCGATACAGAATATATCGTTACTTGTGAATTGAATAAATTTTTTTACTCACCCAAATGTTTTTTAACAGAATGAAAAATACATGATTTCTAGTGGATATGCAATAAGCTTTCAATATTTGACTATTTCATTCAGATATTACTCTTGTCATTAATTCAACTTTTTTCTTACAAAAATTAAAATATTTTTAGTTGGCAGAAAGGTTTGCAAAGAATTTAACTTTTAAAATTACTCATAAAATTAAATTGAAAAATAAAGAGTCGCTGTTTAGATCAGCATTACTTTCTAAAACTACCATGAATTAGCAGTAGTAAAAATTATTATTATTTGCATATACCATTTTTATTAGTCTAGCGTTAGTTTTGGCTTTAACTCGATGCTTAGCACTCATTCACTACTGCTCATTTAGTGATGTTTAAAATGTTAAATCTCTATATTCTTTACTAAATTATTAAGACTTTTACGTCATTTTCTATTTATTTTATGAACCATTTTTTATTAAGTTATTGAAAAATTAACTTTTAAATAGTTGTAAAATATTCTTGAAATTTTATCTTTAGTTCATTCTTTTTATTTAAATTTTTCATCAAATTTTGATTCAAAATTTTAGTTAAGTAAAATTCGGTCTTACTTACAAACTTTTGCTAAATTTATCGCACAATTTATAATAATTCAACCAATCTTAACTTCGTTTTCTTCTTCCATCGCATGCTAAGTAATCTTTAAACTTACAAATATGATTTTTATTAACATTATCATTGAAAAAATTAACTTATTTTTTATCAAATCGATGCTGCTTTTATTATATTTATTGCATGGATGACATGCATGTTCGTCACTATTCCAGACTAAACTTGTAGTAACAAAGTTTTTGGCCAAAAATTACTTTTTTTTTCTCCTAAACTTATCAAAAATTTTGTCCATGGAAGTGACATTTTCATATTTTTCATAACTTTAATAATATCAAATATTTTGCTACTAAAATCTCGTTTTTGCTACAAAATTTTTCACTATAAAAGCTTTTAGGTTTTTATTCTAATAGTTGAAAAGTAGTTAAATTTTAATTTAAAAATAATGCAAAGAAATGGTATAAAATAAAAGTATTATGTTTAAAGCTTGAGTAATTAATTAATATTTTATAAATGCTTTTATTGCTTTCATATTTATCACAATTATCTTTCTGTTTACTTGCCAAAAATAATTGTTATAATCTAGAAAAGTACTTCAACTTATTTTTAAATAATTCATTAATGCAACACATTTTTACTGAATTATATTCATTTTCTACAATTAGCAACAAACTAAATAATATGCGAAATTTTTCAAAACTTGCAAATTTATTCAAATATTCCGTCATATTAAATGAGTATTATTTTAATTACACTCATCATGGCATTACTTACAAATTCCTTTATTTTGTTTTTTTGTCAACAAATATCAATTCTTAAAAATTTTTATTAAGAGTAATTTAGTACTGATTTTTATTTTGTCTTGCTCAAAACTACTATTTTTTCAAATTACATTTGTAAATTATGTTGTTTATACAATGATTATTTAGAAAGATAGCAATTTTTTTTTTCAAAAGACTCGTCAGTGCTTTTTAGGCGTGTTTGATGAACATAGTGTACATTTATTTATTCCCTTTGCAGTAGGCCATTGCATTGTTGCTAAGCTAAGTCAGTTTAAGCCTTTTTGTTTGTTCAGATCTATCTTGTCGTTTGCAGTCTAAAATTTTAAGATAGCTCAAATTTTGGCAGCACAAGAATGCTATGAGTTCAGTGACAAAATTTTGTTGCTTATATTTGCAATAACAAAATAATTCTTTAAAATTTTGACATTATAATTATATATTATTTATTAATTTTTTAGTTCATTCATCAAAAAAAACCTTACTAAATCATTTTAAAAAATGCATATTTTTTTTGCTATTAATTTTGAATAGTTTATTACCGAATAGCAAATGTATACAAATCAAAAAACCTTACTGAATCATTTATACATATCAAAATTCTAAATTCATCATTTTTTAATTAGCAAAAAAAAAATTTGTTCTTTGAGTAAGTGTAGACAATAATTAAATATAAAATATTGCTTATGTATTCTGAAAAAAATTTGGTTTCAAAAATTGTAAACATTTAGTAATATAATCTTTTTGATTAGCAAAATGTAGGATTATTACTGATCAAAATCTCATTTAAAAGTAATTTTAAAATTTGAATTAAGGTTAGATCAAAAAGCTGAGTAATTTTCATTTGAAAAATGTCGTTTTTTATAGTTAATTTGTTGCACAATGTAAAATTAGTAAATTTGATAAGAATTTTTTTTTATAAAACAGGCATTGTTAGAAGTATGTCCCCAAGAGCTTTCTTACTTTTTGCTTCATAAATTTACAAAGCTGGTCTTAGCATCCCATAAAAGCTTATTCATTTTCGCATGTTTTTCTATTATTTGTGACTTTTTGTTCTAACTTGACAATAATAATAATAGTAATAATAATAATAATAATAACAATATTAAAAGCTAATTTTGATGTTTCATTGATGAGGAAGAAACTTGCGATTCATAGTTTATTTTCCTTATTTTAATTGCATTATCGGTGACAGAAAGTTTTTATTTTATAAACCTTTATAATAAAATTGTATTACTAAGCATTTCATTATTTTTTGCACAAAAAAAACAAGCTTTTTTTATTAAATGCAGAATTTGCAATTTCTTATAAACAATCCTTGGAAATCAAAAATATAATCATAATTATCAATCACGCTTTTCCAATTTGCATAACTGTAGATATAAGTCCATATGTTATTTTCTAAAATCTTATTTTGAAAAAAAATTAATTTTGAATATTTTCATGAGTATAATCCAAATAATACTACCTTTTGATCAAAAGCAAGAGCAAAATTTACTAAAGAATTTTTTTAGTTCTATAATTTATAATTTGTTCATAATTTGTTTGAATGATAATAATTATTCATTACAAGGCAATATATTCGATTTCCGAATAAATCTGATGTTTTTTTTCTGACCTATTTTTCACAAAATCTGTGACTAGTATTGTTTATAGGTAAGAAGGAGTACATGCCAATACTGTGTTGCTATGCTAAGAAACGTCGTGCTGGTAATCAAGCCACCAAATCTCTTGAACAAAACAAAGTAAGTTAAAATTGTGACCTTTGGAAAAAAGACAAAAATTATATGCTTTTGAAAGGTTAAAAATTTATGACAAAATTGATAAATCCTTGTAATAAACTGCTGAAATTCAAAACGTTAAATTCTGAACTTCTTTAGCTATGTATAAATAGAATATTCTCCTTCACAAATACAGTGCATTTTTCTCCAAAATATGCTCTATATTTATGAAATTTTCTCACTTAAATACTTTTTTAGCGGAATATATTTGGTATGACATTAGCAAGGTTGGATGAATTTGAAAGTTTGACCCCACTAATAGTAACACCTAATGGTAGTGATGAAGTTTATTTATCTCGAAATCATCGAATCACATCTGCTGCTTTATCACAAAGTCCACCACCACCAAGACGTCAAACCAACGGTAAAACGTTTATTGTGCCGCTGAATTCTGGAAAAGGTTTATCTCATTTTAATTTTAATTATTGTTGCATTTCAAAATTATTTCTATACCAAATAGAAATGAAATTCATTTGTACTTACTTACCTTTGTTCAAAATTTTTTTACGTCAGGTCGTACTCCATTTCTACCTTTACTTGGCACACCAGAGAGCAAAGTTTTATCAAATGATAATGGTAGCACGTATGCTTGTAGTATTATTGTGGAAGATGACGAGAATGTTGCAACGATTACAAATTTTGACAAAATTGACGCAGATTTTATTTCTATCGATCGAGTTTGTGCTGCATCAGTTTGTATTTCATTGATGGCAATTGTTATTTCTTCATGAAATTTCATTTCAGAAAAATTTCAGACGATGTCATCGTATTTGGAGCCAAAACAACAAAGGCTTTCAAAACCGACATGTAATGCAGCAAAACAAGAAAAAACTTCAAGTTCCCAGGTTAATTTAATCAAACAAATTACATTAAAAGTTTAATAGTATAAAGGAGGAAAGTTCATTGCTATAATTTATTTAATCACTGCCACAGCATTATTTTTTGATTATTTTGAAGTAATAAATGATATAATCTTCTAGAATGCAAATATATGCATGGCATTGTTTTCATATCTGAATAAACTTTCAGATATCAACTAATGAGATATCATTACATGCGGCCCTTTCTAGTCAATCGTCACAAAGTTTGCTTTCACTGTTTTCACTTCGTACTTATCATTTTAGATGCTAAAATACTTAAATGACTTTTGAGAGAAGAATTTTTGAACCAAAAAATTAAGCTAAGTTTTTTGAAATTTGATAGTATAATTTAAGTGCCTTCATTTCATTTAATAATTCCATCATTATCTGCTTTAGTTTCATTTACTCAACTTTATTATGTAGTAAAAATAATGAAATTCGGAAAATTAGTGCTTGCAAATAAAGAACAAAATCAGTTTTTCAGTTCCCCTTAAGCAAGAATCATCAGTAATCAGCAAAATAAGTAGCGCAGATAATGACAAAGATGAGAATAGCAAAAGTAACGATTCACTCAATTCATTTGGCAGGTTTGTTTTCATTTCAGTATAATTAACTATACGGTATTCATTTCTATAAAACTGCTCTTTGCTCAATTACAGTATTTTGTTTAATTGAAAACGGCATAATTGAATTCAGATTTAAATTTTTATTTGTCAGATATACAAATTAGCTCAGAAATTCTCTGCTGATTGGTCAGTTATTTCAAATGTATTTTAATAACCTTCATAGCAATAAAAATATTAATATATGTAAATATAAATAAATAAATAAACAATATATATGTAATATAATATAGCATAATATGACATAAAATTGTGTTCATTCTTATATTTTAATGACTGTAAGATCTTTTCTGAAAACAATTGTATTGGTACATAATCATAAGTACACACATATAATACTGTACTTAAAATGTTTTCATTTTTATCAAAATGCAAAAGCAAAATTACATACTCAACCAAAGACATATATAATATCTTAATTATTTAAAAAGTTTGCAGTCAATTTTCTTGTGAACATTCTAACCTGAATAAGTTTCTAGCCCTGAAGACTCGTCATACAGTACGGGATCTCCGCTGGATACTAGTGCTTCTATCAGTGACAGTTTTTGTGCTGCTAACGAAGGAGAAAATAAATCAGAAGAAAAACAACGATTTTACTGTTTCGATAATGGTAAATTTTGTGCTCAAAAATAATGTAATTGAGTGCTAAAGACAAAGAAATTCGAAAAGTAATCCTCAAAAATATACTTTTAGCCATAATAAAAATGCTCAAAAACTTCATCAATAGAAGTTTTGCATACTATTTTTTCTTATACGAAATTGCAAAATTACAGAAATAAATTGTAATTTTTATTATTTTCAGAAGGCAAAATAAAAGGATTGCAGCAACAAATTGATATGGAAATTTATGGATTTTCTATGCAACTGAATCAGTGCACAAGCGAATTAGACTCACAACATAAATATTTTCTTCATAGGTAAGGGAATCAGAATGCTAACGCACATACTTGAAGTATTTATTATGACTTGAAGTATTATTATTACTAATATGAATTACAAATTTTTGTTATTTGAGATGGAATTTTTCCAACATGCAATTAAAATATGGTAATTTACGTCGTGTAAAGACTTTAGAGGGTGAAAAGCATCAAGTAATAAGAAATATAATATGTATTATACTTGAAAAGTAAAAAAATTACGAATGTTGCTTGCATAGGAAATATTTGCATGAAAATTTAGTTTCATCTTCCATTTATAAACTTTCTTTACTTCTCTTTTAAAAAGTCTATCAAATAATTTTTCTGTTTTGTATTTTCTATTAATTGCTTATACTAAGTAAAAGTTATTCTTTTGTAAGGTTTGAAAAGTGCTGACAAAACTTGTGTTATTTTTAGCATTCTTATAAACTGTACATTTAAAAAAAATTGAATAAAGTTTGTCTTAAATTAATCATACTCGTTAGTCGATAATATTACTAATGAAAATACTGAAAGCAGTTTCTTGCAACTTTTGCAGTCACAATTCGGACTTTAGAAGAGTGTGTGTAATCTCGCTAAAGAGTATGTGCTCTATACATTTTCGAAGCAATTTTAGACTTAAATTAATTCATTCTAAATTTAAAAGATTAATTTTTGAAATTAAGATTAATAATATTTACTGAGAGAATATTTTCTTATTTACTGTATTTGCAAACTTTTCTACTCAAAATGCAGCCATAGTATTTGAAAGTATATTATTCAAATCGTTGTATATACAATAAAATTTGATGGGTGAATTTTGAGAGGTTTTATGATTGTGTTGCTTATGATTTGACATTTTGATATAATAGTTAATATAACTGATGGAATAACTTTTAGGATAGAAGAAGAACCAGAGCTAAACGATGATTATGATGCGGTTGGCATGGTAACAAGTCGTACTCTTGATTCAATCAAATCAAATTTGACTTACTCGAATAAAGTAGACTCACAATGTAACGTTATCATTCCACGTTCTATATCTCAGCAGGTAAATGCTAATATTACTTGTGGTTTATAGCTTAGATAGTGAAGTAGAAAGCTTTTTTTCGGAATAATTTGAAGAGTCAGATTTCATGAAGTGAAAAGTTTGCACATTTTGCAGACATTTTCTCTTATCAGTAATACTTGAAACTAAATGTTATTTGAAAATTTGCACAAACAAGTCTTTTCGTTTGAGTAAATAGCAGTAATTTTCAGTTTGAATTGATGAATCGCTTTTGAATATGCTCATGGAGTAAGTGGACTGAAATCAGAAATGGTACTCACTTGATGAATAATTTTTAAATGATTAAAATGTGAGAGTATGTACTCTTGATATAATCTTCTGAAAGTAATCTTACTTGATTGCAAGCAAAAATTGTTATCAAAATATGTTTAATATGATTGAAAACTTTTATATGAAATTAAATTCATAAATTAGTATACTGTGCATTGAAAGCAAAACAACGCATTTACTCATTAAAAACAAAGACTCTGCGCTAAAAAATGAAGTTCAATTGATCTAGGCTTATTTTGCGTGAACAAAATTTTATTTACAAAGAAAGACAAAACATTTGTTGGAAAAGTAAAAAATATATTGAATTCATTGAAGGTAAAAATTTTAGTACTCAAAATAATTATTAGTAATATTATTCAAATTCATCACTCATCTTCATGCTTAAGTCATTATAATCATCTTGTTTAATCTTGATTTATTTACTACAGAATGTTTATTATTGTTGTTGTATTGCATTTACATTCATTTCAAAAGATATTTAAATTAATCAGCTTTAACTATAAAATATTGATGCTTCTATATTGTATTCTAAATGCTAATTAGAATTTGCAGCAAAGAAAAAAATGCATAGGATATTATATAAATGAGGCTTATCCAAGCTTTTCTATAGCTTCTTTGCTTGAATCAAAACAAAATCTGTTTTTTTTTTAACGAGGAATAGAATAAATAATTTTACAACTCGTAATTTTCATCTTTTGACGCAAAATATGCAAAAACAAAGGACAGTGCTAATAAATTTGTTTAGGTCAAGTTTTTGTAACAACTAGTAAGTTGAATCATTTCTATTCATCCATTCCTAAACAAATTATTCATTTTATTTTAACGACACAATTTTTTTTACCTGAAAAAAATTCGATTTAATCATCGTGAAAATGCAAGCAATTAGCAAAACCTAAACTCTCCTTAAAATTTGTAAGCATATTAAGAGTAGTGATCAATCTTTTGAATATCTGAAGGAATTTACAGAAGCAAAATTAATTCTTGATTTTTGTACAAAGCAAAAATAGCAAGATTTTGGACAAAAATTATCGAATAAGTAAGTATTTACTGATTAAGAGCATAAATTACTGAAAAGTTCATGACAAGAATTATTGCTCTCATCTTTATAAGAATTGTCTAACAATGATATTAGACACTTAAAGTTGGAAATTAACTTGTATTTAGATATACTAACTAATAAAAGTTATAATGTAAGAAACTAATAAATCTTAAATCTTGCAAACTCACAATAAATCTTTATCTTTATTCAGTGCTTTTTGTGGCAGTGATAGTTTTGTTTTTGATTTTCTTTTAAACACACTACATTTAATCAGTGATTCCAAGCATTTTTCTGTGACTAAAATATGTATGAAAATAACAAACGCTTCCATTGAAAATTATATATATATATATATATATATATATATATATA